CGATAAATTTTAAATTATCATAGCAGATAGTAGCAGATCAACTTTTTTTTTTTTTTTTGAGAAAAAAGTAAAATGGAACAAAGTGCTCAGTTTGATCTTTATCCACCGAGGAAATGGTTAGCTCAATATAATTACATTTTTCAAAGCCTTGAACGCATCTTGAAATAGTTATCGAAAATGTTGTCGGTAACAAAAATACTAATGTTCAATACAGCTCCGCGACCAACCGTCTAATTACTGCAAAAGACCATGCTTCTGTTCAGATTAATGTTGGAGAGGTTGACGAGAAAGGTCGCTTCACTAATACATATACAACCTATGCTTTATGCGGTTTCGTTCGTTGTTCGGGAGAATCCGATGACTCCTTAAACCGGTTGGCTACAAGGGACGGCTGTAAGTTTTACATTTGATTCTTTTTTTTTTTTTTAAAAAAAAACATTGTTAACAATAAACCTTATTCTTTTTTTCAATAGTTCTTAAGAAGTAAGAATTACATACATGTTTGAATTATTATTGCATTCAAACTATATGCTAACATAATTTTTTTTTTCAGTGTTTGGACATACCAACGTTAAAAAGTAATAAGTGGTTAGATCATAATGGACCTCAGGTCTTTATGGCGATTTGGTTCTTATTATCTGTTATCATTAATAATTGTGGCTTAATTGAAACAATATTAAATTTTTTATAATAAAACATTCGAGAATATGTAATTGAATGTTCAGTGCATATATAATATAACAAAAACAGAATTAGTCGAAGATTAATTAATAATCTAGAAGTTGGACTCTAAGGTATTAAAGTGTATATTGCTAGACCGGATCTCTTGCAGTATAGGTGAGGCTATTAATAAAAGTATAATTAAATTGATTTAGAATAGGTACACCTATATTGCAAGAGATCCGCTAAACCTTTACCATTGTATGATATTTATTAAGTGTTATATTGTTAAATTGTTATAATACTTTTTTTATACCCTTGACGATTTCTATTGGGTTACACGGCCATAATGAGTCGTGCAAAGGGTTTTGCAAAAATTAGGAATCCTATCAGTCATATATCTATACTATATTATTGTTAGTTTTCTAAAATTATTGGGCATTTCCATCGAATTTCGAAGAAAACTTTAAAAGGTTATAATTTACGATTTGAAAGTTTATTTTGGATGTGAAAAGCTTTCTTTCACTTTTTCACTTAGTGTACATATTAGATATAATTATTAGACCTAACATATCACTTTTATTCATCATATCCTGTCTAGTCGTTAAATCACTTAGGCTCTTAATTTGAAAACGAAAATAACGAAAATTTAATAATATTATAACGTTAACAAATTTGATTGGTTATTGAGTTATCCCAAATGAACTAGAAACATATCCTAAGTATGTAATAATGTCGTAATTCAAAAGGAAGGTTTCCCTATGTAATACCATTCAACGAACCTAGTCCATGCTATATAATGGTTTCAAATTAATCAATTTATAGTTAGTATATATAAACGGTGAACAATAAATTGATATTAAAGGACATTGTAGAGTAGAGAATTAATAGTTACCCCAGAAAGAAAACCTTCGACCTAGCCACCGTCCTATGAATGGGAGTATAAATACGACGAGGATCTGTTGAGTTTGTTCAAGTAAATCTTCCCAGTCTTCGTCAGTCACGTCAGAAGCTACATCGTCCTGAGTATTTGGTGTTGGAGGAGGAGGAGTTCCTATTTCAGGTATTTCCTCGGAGTCTTCTGAAGGGGGTATATAATTTGAACCAAATCGGGAGCGCTCAGACAGATTACTTATATAAGATTCGTCAAGATAACCAGCGTTATCCGTTGGAATTGGTGGAGTCGGTTCGGTTGTCGCTAGTTGAGGCATGGCTAGAAGTTAAAGGCAAAGCTTAAAAGCGTGTATAGTGATAGGCAGATCCCCAAAATTCATATTAGATGACGTAAGGGATATTTGATCAGCTGATGAAAGCAAGCCACCGATGATATAATAAGTGATACGCAAAGTTTTTTTTTTTTAGTTAAACATGACAGGGCTATTCAGACAACTTGTGAGTTTACGAAAGAAATTAACGGGGCTTTACCACGATAGGAAGCCCTGGTCAACAATTCGATTCGTGAATCTTAACAACACATTCATGACATCACAGACAAGATTTCAAACAACTATCGAAGATCCAACTTATAAAGGACTTTTTTATCACTCCACACATGATGCAGCCAACTACTCGCTATCTTTTATATCTGATCGTAATAAAGTTGAGAAACATGATGTATCAGTGATTGGATGGGTACCCTTTCAAACGGGTGTGCCAAAGTTAGAAATAGGAAACTTTAGAGAAAATAATAAATTTATAAAATTCTTGCATCAAATGATAGCAGATAATGTAGCGGACGCAGATCCTCAATTGCAAGCTTTGGCCAAGTATCATCAGAATGGGTAAAAATTTACTTTTAAGATATTGTAACCAATTCATGCACAATGGCTTTCAATCTTGACAGTTTATTTCTATTGTTTCTCTGAACCAATCAGTTGGCTTCATATCGCTGGTGAGTTATGTTTTAATCAATTAATTTGTACTTACGCACGTACTTCGTATGCTGATCGCCAATTAACGATCAAGATATTCGTGATCCTGCACCATGGGGTAAGTAATGGTTTAAAAAAAAAATACAGGTTGCTCTCTATCATGAATTTCCTGTTTAGTATAATTTGCTATGACAAGCCACTTTTCCATAGCGAATTTCGTAATAACTATGTCAAACTATTTCACGTGGTATATACATATGTCACATGATGTTAGGTCGTATACCCTATCCAGAAGACATCTTTGGTATGGTTCTTGTGAAAGATGGGCAGATAGTTCCTGGTACATATCAACCTATGCCAACGCACCGAATTTTGACAACAAAAGGATTATTTATGCTGAATGGTCCGTTTCAAGAAAAATTATTGGAAAGGTTAAGTAGAATTTGTCAATAAATTAATATTTTGCATTTGAAATACGAATAATTCAATAAAATTCAAAATATATATATATATACGTATAATAATTAATTGAATTTCATAGAATGCATACTAATTAATAATCGGCATCAAATACTGTATGTACTAAAGGGATGTCCAACATTTTATTATTCGTGTGACATTATGTCGCAGTTCTGTTAATTGATCATCTTCACAACATTAATTAAATCAGACCTCACAACCCACGTGGGAGTACAAGAGACAGTATTTGTACACGGTCTTTTTTATTCCTGTGTTCTAAAGATCTTGTCACAATCAATAGAAACTAGCTTCAATAATT